AGTAGAGTTGTCCCCGTGCTTAACTAATTAAGCACTACGCCATGATGGAGTATGGGGGGGGGATGTATAGATCCATGTTTTCATGACCTCGGCATTAGTTGGAAGTGAGTGGTCAGCTTCACACCCCAGCCGCTTTACCCTCGGGGAAAGACCTCCCCTGTACGCATTGGATAGGAGGTTGGGTGGACCCCAGAGCCGGTCTGGAAGACGTGGAGAAGAGAAAATTTTTGCCCCATCGGACTCCAATCGCTTTGTCTTCCAGCTCGTAGCCAGCCGCTATACCGACTGAGCTATCTTGGCTCTTAGATGAAGATAGTGGGCGCTGCAGTCAATTATATATCTTGGACTTTTGTTTCACAGTTTCTTAATTATAGGGACAGACGGCAGGACTCCTTGGGCGGGGGATCAGGTATTCGCAAGACCGCTACCTACACAGGACAACACAAACACAGAATAAACGCAGACAAACATCCATGCCTCGAGTGGGAATCGAAACCTCGACCCCATTAATTGAGCGGGAAAAGACATTTAATGCTTTAGACCGCGCGGTCACTTTGATCAGCGAGTAGATAATAAGCGAGAGAAACAGAAAATGTCTTATCAGAACATGACGATACGGACGGACCCGAAAGGGAAGCGGAAGAAACTGATAGTTTCTAATCTTTTCCGGCAATTCTCTTTCAGCCGTCACATGTTGCCACTTCTGTTCAGTTTCACGCTAATACGAACTTAAATGCGGTAAAGTCGATTGAAATTTAGTAAATGACAACTCTAATGCCTTAAAACTGGAATAGAGGTCTTCGAATAAATAAATAAATTTATTTAATTCTTTTGGTGAAACTTTAGAAAGATATTCCATGAGACTGGGACACATTTTAATGCAATGATAATGCCTCGAAATAAATAGCATTATTATACAAATAACTTCTGAAATTTATATAGGTCTATAAGAGAATGCTAGTCTTAAGTAACTCGTTTTTTCTCAAAATCTTTCACCAACTGCATTAAAAGTTTAATGACTTTGTGATAAACTCTGTAGGACATGTTAATAATTGTGACATATCGAGGCACTGCTAGGTAACGGGTCACTAAACATATTCCTGCGACGACTACTTCCGTTGCTATACAACGCGTTGTAGATAACAACAATAGAGGAAGATACGTTTTCTATGGATCCGCCTCGAGGCTATACAAGCAGTCCAGTCGTAGAGCGGAGATGAGAACGAAAATGGGGCGTGTCCTAGTTGTTCACGAAGTGGGTATATTGACTATAACTGACTGTGATTAAGAGAGATTGTAAAAGAAAAGTAAGTAAATCCAATAATCCAATCCCGAATCCGTCTTGTAAGTCACACGCAACTCCCCACCTCCCCATTCGTGACAATACTTTCCAAGAACCTGCAATTATCTCTTCTGCATTTTTCTACATCTCTGTCAATTACATGCCGGCATTTTCTTTGTCATTCTCATGTCGAAGTTGTGTGCGAAATATCTCTTCCCCATTTAACCAGTCACTAATGTTTGAATAAATGTTATGACACTTTATTGAGTGCCATTTTATTAAGTGACATGCATTTATTACATTATCTTATTTTCATATTCAACAATTATCCCCTTCGAAAACTTCCAGTACAGAATTACTTACGCCCTTGAGTGGCAGTATGTCTTTGTTTCATTAGGCAGTATCCGCAATCCTAGCTTTCCCAGTCTGAGCGCTTTGGCAAAAGAACTAATTTAGATCAATAACAGTTCAGTGCAGTTGCAACTAAAATACGATGTAAAAACTGAAGCCTCCTCCACTGAAACCTGTGTATACAGGGAATTCAATCTTAATCTTGCAGGTGTTGCCCATTTGCAATTTGTTCTTGGAGCACCATTAGTGTTAGCAAGTTGTATGCTTTTAATTACGTGAAACAAAAGAGGAATAAAAGAAGAGGAAAAAGGAGTGCAATATTAAAAGGAAAATGTGGACCTTGGAATAGAAGCGTTGTTCAGCGACTCCAAGTTTGTCTTCTATTCCGCTGAGACAGAAGAGGACGGAAGTTGCTTTGTCAGCAGTAGCAACAGTTGCTAGTAACCCGACCACTGCAAGGTTTACACAGCTCGCCTCAACAGAGATGGTGCTGCCACGGATCTTCTTCCTCCTCTCATCCCAGGGAACAACACACCAGCGGGAAGATAAACAATTCACTTCACCGTCCAGGATTCCTGTTGAGAGCCAAGTCGAATAGTTAGCTACTTCGGTTTCCCCTGCCAATTTTCATTCCACCAATTGCTCCACAATCACCCTCATCTATCATCTTGGGCTGGTACAATAGGCCAGAAGTGGCCGCAGTACAAGGGACTTAGTCCCACCCCACCAGCAATAACAAAATAAAAGCTACACTTAGCGGTCTTAGTAAATTAATACAATGAAATATCTGAAAAGCAAAACTGCAAGCAAAAGTCTGCTACATGTGTCTTGCCGGTTTCTCTGCTTGCTTAATTCCTCCACCCTGAAGAATAATATGATTTGTTCCTCTGAAACATCTGTTGATTCCGAACGGACTATACAGTGTTATATCCCAGAATATAGAACTTTACATGATCACAGCTGTGAGAACCTCAAATCCTACGCGAAATTATATCCCAGAAGCTAGAATATTTCGAAGAGAGAAACGTTGTAGTGACATCGGTCTAGACTCGTAATGGCGAGGTATTGGATTCGAATCTCGGTTGGAACACAGGATAAACCAACTGATGATTTTCGTGACATTCCTCAGACACTCCAGGCAAATTACGGGATAATACGTCTCTTAAGCCACAACAGCTTCCTTCAAAATAATTTTTAACCGGTTATTAATCCATCTTTCGACCATCCGAAGCTGTAAGCAACATCTCTATGAGTTTTCTTGAGGTTTTCATTGAAGAATCCCGGAACTCCTATCGAAATGAAACATGCAATCACTCATTCATGGAGCTGAGCCCTTCTTGAAAAGCCGCCATTTGTGCAACTACTTAAGAACTTCCAGTATTTTATTGAACCCAAAAGTTCATTACCGTGTTCACAAGAGCCCTCCAGCGGTCCATATCCTAAGCCAGATCAATCCGGTTCATTCCACCCCATCCTATCTCTGAGATCCATTTTAATATTGTCCACCCAACTACGCCTTGGTCTTCCCAATGGTCTCATTTCCTTCGGCATTCCCACTAATATCCTATATGCAAGCCTCCTCTCTCCATTCGTGCTACATGCCCTGCCCACCTCATCCTCCTTGACTTGATCATTCTAATTATACTTGGAGAAGCGTACAAGTTATGCAGAAACATGCAGTCTATACGTAAATTTCAGTAAAGTATATTTAATTTGGTATCCTGATTTTTATTCAAGAAATTTTTGCATTCGAATGTTGGCTGCACTGTTGAATTCAGCCAACATTCATCTTCTCGTTTCATCCTGCACGAAAACGTCATCTGTCGGCACAGATTCATTAAAGAACCTACAAGCCATTCGTATACTGTTTAAGACGGTTTTGAGCGAACTTGACAGATCTGAAATACAAATAAAATTAACCCAGTAAAGTCTGCAGACACAGACTGAAAGAACGAGAACATAGAACCGTGTAGTCTAGTCGTACACCCAAGAGAATTCCATGGTTTCCCTTAAGATTGCAAGTAAGATGAAAGAAAATATCTCGGTACGGATGCTCACGAGTCATTAAAGTTGCACGAAACGTCTGGCCCGTCTCGTCTACTCGGTCCAGTCCCGTTCACAAGCAGCGAAGCCATTCCCTGTAACGTAACATTGGTGGCAGCTGCGGAGCGGGCATGGTCGACCTCAATTAACTAAATGTAGGGAACTTCTACTGTGAGTCCACACACATTACTGTTTGTAGTTCCGCAACTCCGTGTAGTGTGTCGCATCGTAAATTGTCTGCCTTTTGAAATTACTTTTTGCAGGAATATGTAAAATCTAATTTTTTTTCTACCACAATTCGTTTTCTTTCGTCTTTCAGATGTTTATATGTTTCACATATACATAAGAAAATAATCATTAGTTGTAGCAAAGACAAGATCAGATAGGTAGCATTGTAATGAGGTGTAAAGATAGGTACCTGCAGTTTAGTCGGTATTGCAGTCAAAATTTTTACCCAAAAATGATAGCTATCAACTTCAGTGAAATAGTAACTTTATTCGATACTTTACGAGGTAAGTAAAGCAGCCAGTAAACGGAAAACAGCTAGAAACGTGAAATTTTGCTGTTGAACTTTTCATGGACTCTCACTAGGTTAATATACAGATTAACATTTAATGATTAAACCTCACACAGGGAAACGTACAAACACCAGGAATTTACAAAACTCTACACTGATTTCGAGCATAAGTCCAACTCACAAGAACACTCTGAATAATATCATGAAGTGGTTCCGTCTAAAACCAGAAAATAATATTAACAAACTGACCACGCCCAATATGGAGAAGGGCGAGCACTTCGATGTGCGGTTGCGTAATGTGACTACGTAACCGAACGTAATTTACGCTGGCGGAACGTCCAATAATATAATTCACCTAATCGAAACGTGACGTTAGGTATAATATTGAGCGTGTTGACAATTTATCAACCTTGAATTATATAATTTTAATGTATACTTTTATAATCCGAGGTTTCATTGCCAGTCAGTAGCTTAGAACCCCATACTGTGTCTGAAGTGCCGGCCCCACCTCAGAAGTTTACGCAGCCTCCACGGTGATACAACTGATTACATCAAGTGACAAAATATGGCTATATACTTCCCTCCAATGGCATAACATTCCCACAAAAAAATCGTGAATATCAGTGACGTAGTTCCCGAACGAATGCGGATGGCTCTAGGAACAAAGCAGTGACTTCAAGGCATTTGTCTTGCACAAATTACCCTTCCTGTGTAGAAAATGGGAAAATATATACATGATAATTATTTATGAGGAGGAAAATTATATCGTACCATAGTCGATCTGAAACTCGAATATTTCTGTTTCAGTCAAGCTAGTGTGCTGCCTGCCCTGTCGCTGTGACATAAATAACCAGTGATACGCCAAGCCTACATAGCTCGAGGTACGTACTTTTCCTGGTATGAAAAGGTGTTTAGAAGGAGAATGTGCTTAAATTTACGTAAACTTTCTGAATAATTGCGGGTTTAATATAATATAATATAAAAAATTAGTGAAATTCGGATGGCAGAATTTAATACGTGTATTCTGGGTCCAATAATGGCGAGGGCATATTATCTTACTAACACAAACTTCCTCAGTTCTACAACGAAATCCAAGTGTCTTAGCTCTGAACTGTGAAGCCGAAGTGTGCATGAAGGAAGAATACAGCGTTACATTCAGATATTGAGTTTATGAAAATATATAAGTATGTATTGTGTACAGTGAAACACAAATTATGACATTGATGTAAGATTTAAGGCTTTCACGGCGGTGACTATGAAGAAAGCAGTCTTCTGGGATTTGGCACCGTGTATATGTGGTGTTAACCGACGTTTCGGAGGAACGTCGGTTAACACCACATATACACGGTGCCAAATCCGAGAAGACTGCTTTCTTTATTATGACATTGATGTTTCAGATTTATTTCGTAATTACTTTAAAATATTAAAAAGCATTTGTGCAAAGTGTGTCGTATTGGATTCATCATTTGTAAGTTAAATTGATTTTACAACTGAATTTATGTTGTAACAGACATCAGGGAATAATTTAGATCCCTAACCTCTGAAAATTACATATGTGAATAGTTTAGTAGACACCACACCATAAGTTTGTTTGAATCAGTGTAAATACTTGTCAGAAGACAAGAGTGTAAAGTGTGTTCCAAGTTACCATTGAAGAAAATATTCTTGTATTTATAAGTGAGCTTTGTGTGACATATATAGTGATGGGTATAATGTGTTTTGTAATTGCAAGACTGTCGAGTGATATTTCTTTTCCACATTAAAGAACCAACAGTTGCCCTACTAATGAATATTTATTGTTTGCCTCATGAATATATGGTGAAAATAAGGCGGTGTCTGTAGTCAAACACAACATGTCATTGCAGTCATGTGTCATAATATTCTGCAAAATATGCACAGTGATGTGTGGGAAATGTGTCATAGTGTGCACAATTAGGGCAGGTGAATCTCAACTTGAAAATTCGTTCATGGTGTGACACAGAAAGTTGTGTTCCATTTTCACCCAAACTTGAAAGATTACATGTTTGTTTAGGACATAATTTTTGTCCTTGCATCAATAGAAGTGCATAAGAAGGCAGAGTGTGGATGGAAGTGCAAGGTCCACCTGAAGACAATCCTCCAGTCATATTTTGTAGGTTTGTGTGTAATATTTGCAATGATATATGTGTCTTCAAGAATGCAGAGTTAAATTTTCCGTTCACAAATCATAGTCAATAGTTTTCCGTGTTATGTACATACTCGCAAAGTCCAAGTGAAGGTTGGAGCATTATATAAAATTTGGGTCTTAGAGAAATATGTTGCGGTGGTATGAACTCAGTTCTTCTGGCTCAGGATAGAGACCAGTGCCATCCCTTCTGAGGGAGGTAATGAAACTTTAGGTTCCATAAAATGTGAAAATCTTGAATAATTAAGGGACTTACAGCTTTTCGAGATGGAATCGACTCCCTGGTGTTAGTTCACTCCAGTAATAGAATACTCCAAAAGGAACAAAGAATTGTTCCCCCATTCATAATGTTATGTTTCAGCATAATGTTGCACTGTATAGATCTGACTTTGGAGGTTCTGTGCCGTCGACGTGTAACGTCTTCCAATATTCTTTCTTCGTATTTCTTTATTAGAATGTAGATGTCCAGTTAGGCCAATAAATGAATACGAAGGAAGAATAGTGAACGACGTTGCACTTAGACAGCACAAAGCTCCAAAAATCAGAATTGCTCTCTCATTCTTAAAGCGAGAGGCTGGGAAAATTTAATGTAATTTATGGAGCGACCATTTTCCTTGCAATTTTATAAATGGATATAAAGATTGTGCGGGCGGAACTGTGCTGCTGGTGGTACGCTTTCAGCAGTAACATAAAATTATATTAAGAATAAGTTTATCATCTTATCCGGATCACCAGAAAAATAAGCTTAGGTATATAGAATGAAAAATAGCTACAAAATTATTTGTGTGAGACTGTATTATGGGCCAGTCAAAATTATTTTTCCCTGATGAAACCATAAATTTTGTGTACCCTTGGACAAAATACACTTAAAAGGCTTCACAATTACGTAAGACGTGAGTGTCAAGATATAATAAAATCTCCTTTAATCTTCTCGTAGCGTACAAAACAAACGAAGTCTCACTCCAGAGTTCCTGTTTCAAGAGACCCTGGAGCTCACACAGAAGTAAGTTCCCAAAGATGGAGATGACATGAAAGCAAATTCTATATTAACTTGACAATAGGTCTCATAGGGGAGCAGAATATTGAAGAGCCTGTAGAAAAGAAAACAATTGCTTCTGACATAATATTAATCCACTTCAAAGGAGCAATTATGAAGTGGATAATGAAGGAAGAGACTATTAGTAAAACGGGTTCCTTAAAGTCAAAGAGCTAGTCTCGGTCACGTGGTGTGCTCTTGTAGACCTGCAAAGTTCAGCTGAATTCTGTAAAGGACGTCAGCTAATATGCTTCATGAATTAACTCTTTTCAGTCAGAACGAGTTTGACGTATTTATTAATATGAATTAATTTTATGAAATTTTTATAATCTTCCCTTATTACTGTTAATCTATGGCTATATTCTTCCCTCTAATGGCATAAAATTCCCACAAAAAATTGTGAATATCAGTGACATAGTTCCCGAACGGGAACGGGAACTCGCCCTCTAACAGAAATGAGTACCAGGAATTTTCCTGGGGTGTAAAGGGCAGTCGTCAGTGTAAGGATGACAACCTTACCGCCATCTGTGAGCGCACTGTCTACGGAAAATGTGGGAGCCTCTACGTCTCATAACTTTATAGGTCTCAACGGCCTGTTACAGGGATAAATTTTATTAATGTTAATGATAATCCTACATTTCTATCGTGAAAATGGAATTCATTTCCAGTGAATTTTCATTAGCCTTAATTTGTTCAGGTATGCGCTTTGTGCAATATCGTTTTTTGTTCAGTCGCCAGATTATTATTATATTATATTGAAAATATATTTTACACGAACCAAGTTCTAAACTTGTCTATAAAACAATTTTTATACCACAGTTCGAATCCACTCAAAGTCATGGATGTCTGCGTTTATTCTGTGTGTTGCTCTGTGTAGGTAGAGGCCTTGCCACGGGCTGATCCCCTTTTCAAGCAGTCCTACCGACTGTGTATTGATTAAGGTCATGCATCTATGAAAATTGAAAACTCTACAGTTTCCTTTTAATTTGTTTGAAATTTATGCCAGTTATTTAACATGCAAATATGATTTATAATAGCAATTTTAAGTTTCTTTTAGCTTTAATAATTTCCGAAATATTCTTTTTTAATGTTTATGTTAATGCGCAAAATAAAATACCCCCCATGATGCATTTTCTAAAATTGAGTCATGAAATATGGATTTTTGTGCTTATTCTAAACAAATTAAAACTTATATCATATCAATTATATTGCTTTCTTAACTACTGAGAAAATAAAAATTAACTTGTATAGAAATCAAATTTCATTTTTTTTCTTTCAATTTTATTTTTAAGATCAATGAAGTGCAACAAAAGAAAAGTAATACAGTCAATTTGTTCATAAGCAAATGGGAAGCCTGTGTGTAAAATTGTGTACAGATTGGTAAAAAAACTGCATCATGTGGAACCTTTTAAAAATTGTGAAAATGTTGAAAAATTTAAAGCGAGAATATCCATTTTAAAATTTAGTTAAAGAATATCTTTGTTTTTTTACCTGAGATCCAATTAAAATTGACCAGATCCATATGTGTGATGTACTGCTGAAAAGAGTACAGGCAAACCGTGGGGGCGCACAGCTGAAACACGTGCGCAGGGACATTTAAATGGCGCGAGGCCAAAACAACTTTCATTTTACGAAATAGGAAGATATAAACTATTTTATTACACAAAAATCAAAATTTGTGATTTTTCATAACTTTTCCCCAAATTTCACAGATGCACCTTAAGAAACCGAAAAATCCGCCAACGTCCACAAGGGCTGTAGAGCCATAGATAGATAAACAGATAAACCTTATGTTGTTAATGAAGCAAAATTTCCGAATGGATTTTTCTTGCGATAACTCTCCAGATATTTGGGGGGGGGGCTGTGTGTTTTCACGGTTTTGTTAGTCCCTGCAGGAAGTTTCCAGGACAGTATCTTAATTAAGCCACGACCTAACTAAGTCTATGCAGATGAATAATTGAGAACCCGCCAGTCGCTCAGCTAATCAAGAATTTGCCAACATTTTGTGGAACCGGAAGATTTATTACCGTGTTCACAATAACCCACCACTGGAGTTTGCGGATGGAGAAGTTGGCCTTGAGATATGGAAGGTAACTCTGAATATATCGAATAAGCTGTCGCTGATAGCCGATAAGGGATGAAGGCTGGATGAGCTGGAGGCTTGTGTGTTGGGCGTGGGACTAAAAACTCCTTTAAGTAGAAAAGTCATTTTGGTATGAAATATTACATAGGGCCTCGTACTTAGGTCGTAACACCGTTATTCAAAATATTTTCCGAATTCATCGTCATGAAATATGCTCTCGTTAGAATGTATTAATTAATTAATAAATTCTTTCATTAAATGCTCTACAGCCCTTTGTTGGCCCTGGCCTTTTCTTCAGTTTCATAATTATTTTTACACACACGGTAGGACTCCATGGATGGGGGTCAGCCCATCGCAAGGCCGCTAACTACACACAGGAGAACACAAACACAGATTAACCGCGGACACAGCCATCCATATTTTTGAGTGAGGTTTGAACCCACGATCCCAGCTTTCGAGTGAGCGAAGACAGTTCATGCCTTGGACCGCGCGGCCACTGTGATCGGCCGTTAGAATTTTTACCGTCTATATATTGATAGCATTTTAAAATAAACGAGAAAAGGGAAGTAAAATTATCTAAGATTTTTTAACTTAAAAG